AACTTTCCGCTCATATGGAATCCACCAATACGGGAGCAAGTTGACTGCCCAATACAGTGCTTGTCATCGTCTCATTTCCAGCACCTCAGTGATGACCTTGTGACCTCCACCAAGGCAACTGATGATGCTCGCGGTGGGTTCATGTTGGTCATGTAGCCATGCATATGGTTATGCGGTGAAAAATTCTAGCCCTTATTGTTATATGATGTATTCCACGTCAAGGAAAGTTTAGTAACCTCACAGTTCCTCATCAACAATTATGTCCTACCTAACTTTTCCGGATCAATCTACCCTTTTTATATCTTTTCGCGGAGCAATTTTTTTCGTCTACCGTTTTTTTGAAAGTGTGGCTTCACGAACTCAGTATCCAGTTTCATTGTGGGAAATTTAATTTCTATTGTTTTAAAAAAGAAGAAGTGTTGGCTAATGCGAAGTATTCTGCCTACCATACAACACATTACCACTGTTTATCTAGCCGCTCACATAAAACACTGGTGCGCACACTGAGGCAAATATCACTGGCCCAGGCGGAAATACCAGTGGATTTAACAGCCAATTAAAACATAGCGTGTAAAAGTTTAGTTGAGACTTTGCATTTGAACAAGTGAAACGTGTATTATTTGTCGAAAAATCCCCTAGAGGACACTTTTCCGAGTGTAGAAGTTGAGTGTTCGGGAGCGAACCAGTCAATACTGACTTTATGCTCCCCGAAGTTAAGTGCTTGACCGTATAACTGCTCTACCGTTTTAAAGAATGGCGAAGAAGATGAATTCTAAAATTAAAATCATCAGGGCTAATGCCAGATGGCAGGCCAAAGACAGATGCCACCAGAAGGAGGTTTTTGTGCACATAATCCTTAGTTGCTGCCTCAGGTAGCAGTAGCAACGGGCAAAACCAGCACTGATATCGATTGCGTCCAGTCGTGCCCGAGAGTGTTGACTGAGTGTTGAGATAATGGCAGCTGCTTTGACATCACTGTGAATCGAGTTCAAGTGGTTTACTATTGGTGTATTGTAATTGCCCTAAGGGGGTGGCGAATTTTGAGGTCCACTGCTGCGTGGCCACGGCTTAGCGTGTTCAAGTGGCTCTTAAGAAACGGCAAGTAGTTGGGCACGCGCGTGCGCGCCTGTGTGCACACGTGTGTGCAACTGAATATCGGTCAAGTGGTCTTCTAAGCAGCTAGTGGGAACAGTCGCTTGCAAAAAAGGATGACGTTGTAGGCCGTAGGAATTGAACGAGGAAGGAAACAGCATTTGTTGGTCGTCCACCATAACACACTCTGCCTCTTAAAAAGTCCATGAAAAATGAAGTTCAGTAACCTCCTACATTCCTTCCGAAAGTAAAGGTATTTATTAGAAAAGCGTTTCTATGATTCATGATCAGGAGCATTTTATTACTTT